AATGTTCTTGAGGAATAATGGAAAGAATTTAAAGATGAATGTACTTTAAAAAACAAACATTCAGACAAACAAAACAACTCCCAGGATGGAAGTGTGAATAGGGAAGAGAAAAAGGTGGTACATAGTTAAAGATAAAAAGAATGGTGTCTGGCTATGAGGAAAGAAATAAAAGTACTTAGGAAGAATGGAGGTACCAGAACATGTAATAAAATTGATCAAGGACACAGTCAGATGCGAAGTAAGAGCTGGAACATCATGATCTAGAAGCTTGGAAATAAGGCCACAAAGCAGCCCAGGTAAATCAGCATGCTTGCTACTCACACAGCATGGACTTTGTTATCTTGGGAGTCAATCTGAACAGTTTAAAAGTATTCCAGTTTAAATAAAGACCTAAGCTGTCTAAAAATCTCCATAAAATGGGATGCCTAGGTGGCTCAGCCGGTTAAGCATCTTGTCTTCGGCTCAAGTCATGATCTCAGGGTCCTGGGATCTCAGGGTCCTGGGACCCCACATCAGGCTCCCTGCTTGGGGGGAGCCTGCTTCTCCCTCTCCCACTCCCCCTGCTTGTGTTCCCTCTCTTGCTGTGTCTCTGTCAAATAAACAAATAAAATCTTGAAAAAAAAAAAAAGCTCCATAAAAACATATTGCTAAAAGGTCACAGGTGAAAACTCATTTAAAAATAACAAAGAAACTAGAGTTTTTAGAATGGCTCATTGAAAGGTATTTCAAAATGTTTGAGGGTATGTCACTAAAATATATATTTTTTAAGTCTCAATATTTTTACATATAGAAGATAGAGCTAACCAAAATTCATTTGATTTTCACCCTTTATTTGATTATTATTTTTTTAAACATGTACTTACTGATTTAAGTAATGGCTACACCCAACACAAGGCTCAAACTCAATGACCATGAGATCAAGAGTCCCATGACTTTTTTTTTTTTTAAAGATTTTACTTATTTATTTGAGAGAGAGTGAGCGAGAGAGAGAGAGCATTAGTCGGGCAGGAGTAGAGGGAGAGGGAGAAGCAGTCACCCTGCTGAGCAGGGAGCTTGATGCGGGGCTCGATCCAGGGACTCTGGGATCATGACCTAAGCTGAAGGCAGCTGCCTAATCAACTGAGCCACCCAGGCACCCCTGAGTCCCATGACTCTTGACGAACCAGCCAGGAGCCCCTGATTTTCACCCTTTAATGAATAATTTGCTCCTAGATTCCTTTCTACTCTATCAACATAGATTGATATTATGCCTTACGCAGAATTTGTATATTTGTGTTTGTTATTAGTGTACCCATTAGCTTCTAGAGAAGTGATATTCAACCGTTTTTTATCATATGACCCAATACATGCATATTTATATCTATATATATATATATATGTCCTACCAAACTAATATATGTAAATTATATAACCTAAATAAAAAAGTTAAAGTTACAAAAAAAAAAAATAGTAGAAATTCTAATATATTCCTCTTGCACAACATTGTACCTTCCTGTCTGTGCATCCGCCCTTCTTCAGAGACCACTGGCTGCCATTAGGGTCTCTCAAGACCCACTGCCAAACTCTACCTCTAAATAGCTGTGTATCTTGGGCAAGACACTTAGCCTCTGTGTCTCGGTTTATTTGTAAAATGAAGATAGTAACAGCCTGCCTCACAGAACTGTTGTGAAGATTACGTGAGCCAGTGCCTGGAAAGTGCTCCCCATCATGAAGAAGTGGTCTCTAATGGTAGATATGATCTGTGATTGACAATTTGCAAGGAATGATCCTTCTTTAGATGATTGCTGAATTAAAGTTGATTAATCTGGTACTTCTGGAATTCAAGTTGTTTCCTATAATTCATGGAGATTTGTTACCTTATCTTTCCTTATTCTTCCTTATCTCTGTGCTCTTTTCCTACATTATCTCCTTAGCCTGGAGCTAAGTGCATGGTTTTTCATATTTTTGCCAAGTTGCAACTGTGTATTTCCCCTGAACATGTGGATTCAGTTTCCCCAAGGAAGGATAGCAATTACTTTATATTAAAAAGACCATCTCTTCATATTCTGTTTAAATTATAGCAGTGATCATCAATTCTGGCTACACATTATAATCATACAGGAAGCTTTAAAAACTGATATACCCAGGCCCCAATTCCAGAGCTTCTGATTTAATTTGTCTAAAGGCTCCCAAGTGATACTAAAGTGCAGCTAGGGATTGAGGACCATTGAGCAAGGGAAAAATGATCACTTCATGTCAGCGATTCTCAGACTTGGCTACATATTCCAATCACCTGGGAGCTCTTAAAAATACCAATGCCTGGAGCTCTGATTTCAGTCTAATTAAATATCTGTAGATGTAGTTAGGACATTAGCAGTCATAAAAGCTCCCCAGTTGATTCTTATTTGAAGCCAAGGTTGAGAACTGTTACTCTATATAAACAAAATACTAAAGTAAAGTAGTTGGCAATCATAAGAACTTGACAACATGATTCGGAAAAGATGACACATGCACACATCAAGGGAGGCTGATTGAAGGATGTTGTGGTCTACAATCATCTGTTGGCTTACTCTGGAGTCTCCCTAGCTGGGGCTTGGCTTTGCTCCCTTAGGCCAGCAAATCCATGTGGTAGACAGTAGTCCTGCTACTCTTAGAAGTGGCTAGGGTCAGTAACTATTTAAAAGGGTAAAGTACTACACCAAATCTACTATTATTAATTTTTGTCATTATTATCTTCAACTGCCTGGGTTCTCTCCTCCAGCCATCTTGAGAAGTGAAATACATCTTGCCTAGTACTCTCCTCTCTTATTGCTCTTATCTCCAAAGTAGGCACACTGACCTTTTTTGTTCATGGGCATTATTTCTAATCACTTATAAGGAGGGCAAAGGAGGAAGGGGCACAAAGAACCATTAAAATTGTAAAGCTAGGAAAGGAACAGAAATCTCGCGAAACTCTTTTATAACAAAGTTTCAATTGCTTGACTTATTTCCCTGGATATTTGCACACAGTTTATATTGAGTTATCATAATGTATATTTAATTTAAACCTCAAAGTTGCTTTAAGAATATATTTTACAGATTTCAGAGAGGTTAAGTGACTTGCCCGAGGTCACACAGGGGGCAAAGTCAGATTATGAAAAATTTCTTCTAGTTTAAAGTCTAATGCTTATCTGACTACACTATAAGTACATCCTGGAAGCTGACAGATACCTCCTTTTTATCATTCTTTTATCATGGAAGGGAGAACCTTTAGCTGGTCCAAAGGAGACTGACCTGTTGCTTCCAGAAACTGGAGATAAGGTTAAGTTCTGCTGGGTTTAACAAATATCACGAAGTGGGTGATTGTGGTTATTAGATATCACTACAGAGGAGATGTCTCCCAAATCAGTAAGTTAACATTCAGAGGGGCCACAGGATGCTGCCCCCAGAGAGCAAGTCTGAAATATAACTGAGTAAAAAGAAAGCAGTGTCTCATTAACGTAATACCTGAATAAAGAGTATGGCAACAGAAGTGAGCAAAAGGCTGACTTTCCTGATTAGTGGTGGGTGTTCAGCATTATCCTGAAGAGAGGTGTCTGGCTAGTGCTGCATCAGAGGAGTCCCTTGGCTTCAATTCCAGCCTCAACAAGCAATGTTCCTAGCTCCCCAGAGACTGTCAGAAACAGGAGAAAACAATTCTTGGTTCAGTTCATATGAGTATTCTGCTTTTTCTAGGAGTTATAAATACCAATATGAAGTTAGCGTCTTGGTTTACACAATTCTCTGTGAATTTGGTTAGTACAAGTTATGATTAATCCCTCTGATGATGATTACTTCCTGTTAACTTGACAAAAGTTTGTGGGCCTGGAAAGCTATGCTCCTGGAAACCCTCACTTTTGGTGACTGCAAGGCTCTGGCACCCTGAGAGGCCCTGGACTCCTCTGACCCACCATCGCTTTCCCCTCATGAAACAAAGCCTTGTAGAGTCGAACAATGGCATGAACTAGCCAGCCAAGGACTGCTCCTGAACTTAAATGAGTCGTTAATGGCTTTGTAAAGTTCCAGAGGGGGACCCTAATGTTATACTGGTCTGTGTGTTATACAGGAAAGTCATCCTTTGTAAAGTTTGGCCATTTAAGTCAGTATCTTAAAAAAAATTGATACAGGGGCGCCTGGGTGGCTCAGTCGTTAAGCATATGCCTTTGGCTCAGGTCATGATCCCAGGGTCCTGGGATCGAGCCCCACATAGGGCTCCCTGCTCAGTGGGAAGCCTGCTTCTCCCTCTCTCGCTCCCCCTGCTTGTGTTCCTGCTCTCGCTATCTCTCCCTCTGTCAAATAAATAAAATCTTAAAAAAAAAAAAAAAATTGATACAGTGCAGATCTTTGTTATGGAAATTTAGAAGGGTTTGTGAAAGAGATTCCTCTCCTGAGTTCCTGGGAAAGAAATTTACTTCCTTTACCATGCTTTCGGTGGACTCCATGTGCTCTTGTGTTACCTTTGATTTCATCCAGTTTTTTTTCTGAGTTGTGTCGTCATTCCATAACCTGTTGTTTGCCATCTAATTTCCGAGAACTTCATTTCTAATGCATGCTGTTTTTTCAAAAACTTCTATCTAAATGATTTAACTCATTTAAAAATATTCTGATCTGCGTTATAGCTAGAGTTTTTATATTGTGAGTTCTCATGTTCTGTTAAAAATTCTTTCATCCATTTTAATCTCTTCTCTTGTACTCAGGTCATTTGAGGTTAAATAGCATTTCTTTTTTCCCTCATGCCCAAATTACATGGATTTTTGTGTATCCCATACATAGACATATCCCACGTTTCCTATGGAGATGTGGATGGGCCAGGGTCAATTTCTCAGCTTCATGGCTCATGGTCTCTGTTATGTTATAAATGAAGAACCAGAAATAGAGCCTTTTTGTGTAACCCTTCTCTATTTGTCAAAGCTAAGACTGGTTGGAAAAATTTTCTGCCTTTAGCTCTGTGTTTCCTAGAAGTCTACAGACCTTGCTTTCAAGGTTACATTTATTTTCGGAGGTCTTTTCATCTTGAGTCTGCTGGCCACCCAGCCTAATAGAAAATGACACTGTTTTACCATTCCCAATGTAAATTTTCCCTCTCCTTTATTCCAAATGTTCCTGCCCTGCTCTATTTTATTTCTTTTCAACATTTTTTCCTCAGAGTGTGGCTCAGTCATCCTGGAAGGATGCATGTGCTGGATATTTTTGATATTCTTCAGAGCTTAGATCACTACAGCACTAGTCAATTCTCTTCCATCTACATATACACATAGAAGTGGGGTTGTTTTTGCTTTTTGTTGTTGCTTTGCACTTACTCAGAATGTGATGCCAATGAGCTACTTCTCAAATTTGTTTTACTGTATTTCCATTCAGGTAGAGTCCTTTCAACAATTTTGGGGACTATAGCTCACAATGACTTGTCAGTAACCCCTTCACTCTTGCTGCTTCCCACTTCCTTTTTGCTCCTGCATCTGCCCAGTGTCTGGGTAGGCAGGTACACCTGCCCATATTCTGAATATGCAGGGATTCCATTGCTGGAATTTCTTAAAGATTATTTTTTGAAGAGCCAGTTAACTCCTGGTTCAGGAAGGGTTATTTATCTTTGGGAAGGCTGGCTATAATGTGGATGGGATGTAGAATAACTGCAAACCTCTTTGTAGTTTATAATATTAAAGCAGCAGATTGGTCTCAAAGATGTCAACACTTCTTTGGTCTTTTGAGAAATGACTACCTGCTTATGCACAGGGCTTCTTGGAAAACCCACTTACTTAAATGAATCAAATTTATGTGAGGGACTGCCTCTGCAAGGACAGAACAGTTCCTTGAGTAATTAAAACTTAAAGGTATCCCTGGTAAGAATTAGAAAAATAGCTGATAAACCACATAACAGTACAAAGTTTTTTACAATCTGAAAACAAAATGGACTTATACAATCTGTATTAAAATGAGACTTCTAGTGTCAAAGGAAAGTATTTATAACAGGATTTTACTAAATATTTAATAGTACCAATATATGCAAATACCAACTTCACAAAAAATCTATTATATAAATAAGCATCTACATTAATATTAGTGGTGCTCATAATCTTTGTAATATTTTAACAAAAATTAAGTGTTAATAGTACATAGGAGAGTAAAAGTATCAATTCCTAAACAAGTAAAATACACTTTATTTTAAAAAACAGTTCAACATTTAATGTTGCTGTTATTCTAACTTTGAACAAAGATGGTGTATATAACTGGAATGATGATCTGTGCAAGGTTTTCAGGTAACCACATTTAAGACAACCACTAAACCAAAAGTTAATATTCTTTTACCTGCGTAGAAGATAACCAAGTCATATTTTCTAGTACATTTAAATTATCCCTATAAATAAACTAGACATTCTTTTGTTGTTGTTACTTTCCAGAAAAAGTTTCCTTTCACAGTTAATACTTAGAAATATACTTTGGAGCCAGATAAAATCTTAGTGTAAACTCCAGCTCTTCTACCTACTAGCTTTAAGACTTTGGGCAAGTTTCTTAACCTTCCTAAACTAATTTCCTCATCATACAATGGAGAAAATAAATGTTTCAAAGATTGAGATAATATATGTGTTATAGGCTGAATTGTGTGCCCCCCCCCATTCATATGTTGAAGTACTAATCCCCCATACCTCAGAACGTGACTTCACTGGAGACAGGCTCTTTAAAGAGGTAATTAAGTTAAAATAAGGTCATTAGGGAAGGCCCTCATCCATTAGGACTTAGTGTCCTTACAAGAAGAGGAAATTAGGACACAGACAGAGAGGGAAGACATTGTGAGACAAAGGGAGAAGATATCCATCTACAAGTGAAGGAAAGAGGCCTCAGAAGAAACCGACTCTGCCAACACCTTGATCTCAGATTCTAGCCCCCAGAATTGTGAGAAAATAAATTTCTGTTGTTTAAGCCCCCTAATACGTGGTATTTTGTTATGGCAACCCTAAAACATTAATACAATATGTGAAGAATTTAGAATAGTGCCTGGGACATGGTAGGTAATCAATAACTTAATTACTACTGTTATTTCCCCAGAGCTTTTCTAATATTCAACTCCACACATAATTCCATTCTTAAGATGTTCATTTAATGGCTAAGTGGCAAAAGAGCAAGACTTTGTTGGGATACACAGAATGCTATTGACTCTCAGCATGTTCTTGCTGGGTTGGAGTACTCTTTTTCCAGGCCATTTCTCAGGGATGTGTTTCTAGCGAGTAACCCTGAATGATGATGTAACATCTCACTCCAGACCAAGAAAAGGCTTACTTCTGCTTACTGTAAAAGTTGTGATTTGCCCAAGTTATGCACTCCTCTCCTGTAACACAATCTCTTGTGCATGTATTCATCATGGCCCTTTATGTCACCTCTGTGGGACTTGCAAGGACAGAGGACCAAAATAAACCAACACAAAGCTCTGGCTATTGTAAAGTCATTTGTTTCTGGCTGTATCCCATTACATTTTAACTGATAGCTTATAAACGGGGCAAAATCTCAGACCCTACACAGTTCTTTACTGCTTTGGCTGAGAGAGCCATGGTTTCTGAAAAAGATGAGGGCCCCACTGCTCTGGGTTAAGAGATATAAGACTCCCTGGGATCCAACAGTAAATGTTAAGTAGTGGGAAAGGGAGGTGGGGAGGAGTCTCCCACTGTCCTGCCTGTTAATTTATGTTTGGAGGCTAAGCAGTGAGAAGTAGGATTAAAACAAGCCACCCAAATGGTGTGTTGGTTGTTGCTCACTCACCTCAGGTTGGGAAGAGCAATGATATTAATATGATAACAAGGCAGCACGCCCCAGGGCTCTAGCCAAGAAGTGTGGCTATTGCTGCTAAGTCAAGGGGTCCTCAAAGCTAAAACAAATGCCACCAGCAAGGAGGAAATAAAAATTGCAAGTTTGTTGAGTACAAGTTGGGCAGCTGATCAAAAACAAAAGTAAATGCAATACTGGAGCCATTCTCTCCCTCTACACTTTTTGGTAATTCCTTCACCCTCTACCCTGACCTCAGCTGCTTTAAGGAGAAAGCCAAGTATGATGGGAATACATGGGGGAAGAAAGTAACTCAAACTTTTACAGCTGTTAGATACAGGTGCTCGTCACCATTCTACCCAGTCCCACAGGGGAAGTTGGTATTGGGCACAGGGTGGTCAAAGGTACCAAAGGCTGCAGGACACTGAGGAGGTGCACGGTTAGTTATATGGAGGGCAAAAAGAAAGATCCCCAGAGTGTGGGGGCTCCCTACATACTGGGAAGTGCACAGGAAAGAAGTTGGTACCAACACTGAAGCAAGGGGCCAAAAAAAGAAAAAAAGAGGCTCCTTGGATGCAGCCTTTACCCCTTGCTCCTTCTGGAGCTCCCAACCAAGGAGCTAACATAATCTCTTCACCACAGTTAAAGCTCCTAATGTGCCAACGTTAAACTTGCCATATTCCCATACGGGGGATAAAGTGACTAAAGTCAACTGATAGGATTAGAATGAATTGTTATGAAAATACGTAACTGGTACTGAGGTGTTATATGCTTATTTTGCAAATGCTCATAAAGTGCCAGAGGAGATCCTCCCATCCAGGGTATTGCTGCTCTATATAGAGAAATGAGACAAACTTCCTGCCATCTACTACCATGCCCTAACCCATCCTAACCTATTGGCGGGTTGGGATTTAGTGTGAGCGCCTCTATGCTCTGATATCCCAAATGTTCACTATATAGATGATGTTCTGGTGGTCAAGTTAGAAGCTCATCTCAATGGTTTTGACTGTGGCCATTATCAACCTCCACCAGTAGAAGTGGCTGCTAAACCCAAACAAAATTCAGAACTCTGTTTGCCAAGCCGTTTCCCAGCATTGTTTAGACAGAGTCATAGCGCTCAATCCACCCAGGAGTCAAACAAACAAATGTTTTCTCCTTATTAAGACTTATTCAGTATTGGAAGCAGTTCATAATGCCACCGATGGCAGCTGCGAAAATGCACAAACACAGAAACCAGGACAACCTTATTGCAATCTGACTGATCTTATGCTTGAGTAGGCTATTGTTTCTAAGTCAAGGGGTCCTCAAAGCTAAAACAAATGCCACCAGCAAGGAGGAAATAAAAATTGCAAGTTTGGGGGCGCCTGGGTGGCTCAGTCGTTAAGCATCTGCCTTCGGCTCAGGTCATGATCCCAGGGTCCTGGGATCGAGCCCCGCATCGGGCTCTCTGCTCCGCGGGAAGCCTGTTTCTCCCTCTCCCTCTCCCCCTGCTTGTGATCCTGCTCTCACTGTGTCTCTCTCTGTCAAATAAATAAATAAAATCTTTAAAAAAAAAAAATTGCAAGTTTGTTGAGTACAAGTTACTCAACAGGGTGGGAAGAGCAACGTTTGAGTAGCCTTGGATTTTGCCATTATGGCAACTGAGGCTGCAACTACTGGGTGGCACTACCTATGTGACTTAATTAAATCTATATAATGGTGATTCAAATCAGGTTTCACAACAAATCCTGAAGTAGAGAGACCGTGCCCTGTTGGGGTTATGTGCTTATATGTGGGAAAAATGGGCCATAGTAGGTCTCTCCATTAGGGAGGGGGGATTTGTTTTTGGCCATCTATTGCCCCTGTCATTTTGTCATTGACACCAAAGATCAGCAACTCAGTCAAAGCTCCCTTGTGAGGGTCGTAATATATGATACATTGGTCTTACAATACATTCAGGCTAATAAAAAGACCCCCGTTGGAATTTAAAATTGACTAAATTCAAGACCCTACGGGACATGACTGAGGTCAATACTGCAGACTGGTTTCGTCCTGCTGCTCAGAGTCTGTTGATAGTAGCCTTAATTAACTGCTATATGAAACCAACTGAATAGATCTGGTATTGACGAAACAACCTGTTTATCAGATTAATCAGACTAGTAAACTGAGTGGCATTCTTCCATGAAAATTCAAGTTTGGCCAAGAACATGTCAGGTTAAGAAGTGAGTAAATGGAAGAGGCTATCCATTATGGGCTCTGAATGACACTGCATACTTTCTGGGTGTGCCCTGAATGCAAGGACCTGACCTATCTTTACCCAGTCCATGTCTTAGGCTTGTGTTTACACTAAGCAACCTTGAGGCATGAGGTAGCAACTACCCCTTGGACAAAAAACAGGATTGTTTCTGGTCACTATAAAAGCAGTCCATGTCCCAAGCTCAGCGTTCCTTTTCTGTAACACAACCCACTGCATGTGCAGGCTTCCATCAATGGCCTTTTATGTTGCTCTTATGGGGCTCAGAGAAATGGGAACTGATACAAACTAACAGGAAGCTCTGGCTACCACTTTTGTTGTGAATAATAAAAGTGCTTTGTCTCTGTCCAAGCGTCTCATGTATCCTGTAGCATACCATGAAATAGTAACAGGCTAACCTGTTAGCTTGTAAATCGGGTGAAATCTCAGACCCTGCAATTACTGACAGACATCAATAATTTTCTTCTTGGTAATGGCTGGCATTTTAGGCACTATGACTTAGCTACTAGGAAATTTATTATTAGCATGATATATAACAAAATATTATTTTCCAAAGACTTAGCCAATAACACTACAAAAATAAAAAGCCCTCTGTTTCCTGTGAATTTAACCGTGTGTGTCCAAGTCCAGTAATAATTTCACTGTCTGTCTGAAGTACTAAGAGTACTAAATCCAAAGCTCGGCGCCATGCCTCAATCTTTGGTATAACAACGTCATAAATGCTTGGAATCTGTTCCAGTTTATTTGAAATGCCTGAATTAAAAATTCCACTATTTAGTTTACTATATTTATTCAAGATGTAAGACGAAGGAGAGCCAGAGTCTGTGGCATTTTGTAGATGCTGTTGAATTAATGTGCTGGCTTCAAATTCTGATGAGCAATTGGCCATGTTATATACGAGAGTTGAAAGGTATTTGTGCCATCCGTTTGCCAGGCATTTAAGCACAGTGGATCTGTATAGTGCCAGAGATGAGGCCAGCCAAGAGGAAGTATTATGAAGCCATCCTGAACAGACGTGGTTTCGTTTACTCAGTGATTGCTCTGCAAGAATTTGAAGATGGCTAAGACACAAAAATTCAACTGCCCCACCTCCAAGGAAGACCTTTTGCTCTTTTAGAGCATAATACAGACGACAGGCACAAGCCCAGAACCTGTCTTCTTTGGACTTCATCTGTGCAGTGACTGGGCTAGTGAGCACTACTGTAACCAAATTAATTCCTTCTATTTTTATCACGACTGTGATTATATTGATTCTATCCATGACATCCGAAGGAATACTTCTCCAGAAGGTCACGTAGACCCCACTGCCCACACAGTTTTCATTCACTTGTGTGACATAGGTCACCTGTACTGCTCCTGAAGCTTCTGCAAAAGCCTGCATCACACTGCTATTCACTGGCCCAAGTACCAACCGCTTATTGGGTATGCACTTTTCAATTAAGTGTTCAGACACATTTCCTTGTACCAGGACAAGGTTCACATTGAACTTAATTAGTACCTGTAATACATAATTTGTCCACAGTTCTTCTGAGCTGTCTTGTTGAACCTTCATGCTTTCCAGTACTGTGTTAATATTTGTAGCCTTGTTAAATCCCAGGTGGCGATAATTCTCTGTGAGGTCACCCTCAATGAGAATAATCCGGAGAGGCTGATTCTGTAATTCCTTAATCAGAGCAGAATTAGATATTGATACTACAGTGATAAATCCTGGGCAGACACAAGAGAAAGTTTCAGGTACACCTGGTAAACAGCAAGTGAAGAGTCTTGAAATGTCAAACCTAAATGGCATTGTACAGTTGCCTTGCTGCATACTTGCATTCTGATACTGCAGCCGTACTGCTTCATCTACTAATTTCATGCTGTTGTGATCTCCGTGACTTAAACCCATCTCCAACTCTACCAAATCATTACATCTGTAAGTACGGGGAGAAGCTGCACCATGTTGTTCTAGAAATCCATCTGGTTTGTTTATCCACTGATTATTATCTGTCCTATTAAAATGCCTACTGTGGATTAGTATTGACTTTCTATGATGGTTGCCTGTGAGCAGACTGTTTTTCAGAGTTTGAGAATTTTGTAACATGTTTTTATCTGCTTCAACTTCAGCCTGAGGTCTAAAGAGTTTAGGTGATTTAACAGGTATCCCAGAAAGATTGCAAATGGTCAGTGATGGAGAGGCAACATCTTTGAGATCATGCTCTTTCTGTAAACCAGTATCTGAAGGGATTTGTAGAAAAGGGCACAAACTGCCACTAAATGTTTCAAGTCCAGAAAATGTCTTTGTGCTGTCTATATAGTCAAATACATTGTGGATAGGTACTTGAAGGGAAACTACCTCTTCAATGCAAGAGTTCAGTCCTTCTGACATTGCAGACACTATTAATGAAATGGGGACACCTAAATGGAGACATTCTTCAGCAGCACTGCTCCATGCACCAACAAGGAACAGAAGAGTACTAGTTCCAGTTTTATATGTGTTATTTTGTGCTTGAACTGCTTCATTGAGAAGTTGTCCCACTGCGCTGGTTAAATCCAAACTTTCGAGAAGCCTTACTGTTGAACTGATTAACACACCTTCATGACACTCTGCATCTATAATAAATTTCGATGATTTTAATGGGCCTAGGAAAGTTCTTCCTGTTCCTGCAAATGATGAAAGTTGTTGAAGTCCCATGTGCCTTCTTTTATTTATGACCCTGCAAGCCATCACCATGAATCATCTGCAAATAAAATAAAAACGTGGAAATCTATTCAGTGTAATTCATGGTTATAGTTGCTTATAAAAGAAAAATCAGATATAGTCCCTGCCTTTGAGGAGTTTCTGGTATATATAGTTTCCACTAAATATGGTCAGTGCAAAACAAAACAAAACAAAAAAACAAAACAAACAAAACAACAACAACAACAAAAATAAATATGGTCAGTGCAAGGATAACAGTACTACAATGATATTTCGATAAAGGTATGGGCATGTGGAGAAGGAACACTTCATCCAATAGGGGAAGTGGATCACTCAGGCAGTGATTCTGGTAGCGTTTCCAGAAGAAGGCAATGCCTGAAATGAGTCTTGAAGAATAATTTGAAAGAGTCAGCAAGTTGAAGGAGGTGGTAGTAAATGCACATATATGTGAAAAAACACAGTGTATTAGGGTAATACAAGTAGTTTAGTTTTACAGAAATAAAAAGAAAGTAGTAGGAAATGGGAGATGAAGCTCTAGAAGAGAAAAAGGGTTGGATCGTGAAAGGCATTATGTGCCATGTCAAACTTGATCCTATGATGGGAACCACGGACGTGTTTTAAGTAAGAAAGATTAAGAAATGGCTTGATGTAGAGTTCAAAAGCATGTGCTCCGAATCTAGAAGTCTGGATTTGAACTTGGCTCTAATGCTTACTAGCTATGTAAGTTATTTAACTACTCGACTTTGTCCACATCTGAAAAATAAGGACTATAACAGAACCTACTTTATAGGATTATTATAAGGAGTAAATGCGTACAGTGCTTAGAACAATGCCTGGCATATAATCCCCTCTGAGTACTGCTGGTGCTACTGGGGCTGCTCGTGCTTTGGGTAGATCACCACTGTGATAGCACCGAGAACCAACTGGGCGGGTGCCGCACTGGAGGCAGAGAAGTCAGCTAAGGATCATCTACAGTTATCTAGGTGGGAGGGGAATGCCGCTGAGAGGATGGGCTTGTTACTGATTAGAATGTAAAGAGGAAAAACGCATTATTTAAAGTGAAGTTCAAGAGCAATGGGCTTTTTCCACGTAGTATTTTGAAATCCACATCTAAACTAATAAGACTTAAAGAGAAAAACTTTAGTCCAATAGAAAGAACTTTTTCACAAAGTACCCCTTAACTGAAAAGCTGTCTATAATAAAATGACCTACCTTGTGAGGTATGAGCTCTCAGTTAAAGGACTAGAACTAAAATTGTAGACAATATAAACTTCTCTTCCAACTCGAAGACTTTATAATTCTTTGAATATTTTTTATCACAATCTTTTAAATTCAAAATATCAAAAAGCAAGCAATTTAGAGTTTTGCTTTTCATCTGATAAATTTGTTTCTATAATACCTGGATTCATCCTTGAAGCTGAGGAGCACCACTATCTGAGATACTTAAGATCAGGAGAAAGCCATAACACAACTATTCCTCAAGAGTGGCTTCCTATAAGTTTTCAAGGACTAAGTAGAAAAGCTAATACAGCCTAGGAAAAGGTATAATGAATTGTTTGAAGTCAGTTTCAAATGCTCTTTTGTGAACATTTCAATTCTATAAAATAAAGATAAAACTCTTGATACACCCAGGAATATCCCTAGACTGCATCAAAATATACTCTAGGACTCCAATATTCTAACCCTGAGACCCATCATATCTTACAATTATCTGATCCTACCATGTTTCGCTTCACCCCCCACCCCATATTATCAATTCTCTACTTACCCAGTTTAAATTCCTATCTGTCAGTTATTATATTCACTCCCTTGCACATATATCCTCAAAATCCTTATCCCTCTTCAGGTTCATCCTACTCACCTTGCAAAGACACTAATCTTGATGAAATCCAACTCTCTACTCCATGCTTACCTTGCTGCAGCTGAAAATAAAAAGAAAGACAAACACAACCACGCTGGTAGCATTTCAAACCTCAAGTGGCCCTTATTGTTGTTTGGCAATCTACTTTCCTAGTTCATTTATCTTTTTTTTTTTTCCTTTTTATAAAAGGCTATTGCTTTTTGGGTTCTATTTTTTAAAGTTTTGCCTACCCCTAAGTACAAAAGATATTCTTCTTCTAAAAACGTTATGGTTTTAGTCTTCCATGGCTATGGATCTACCTATTCTGGATATTTCATATAAATAGAATCACACAATATGTGACCTTTTGTGTCTGGCTTCTTTCACTTAGCATAATGTTTTTGAGGTTCATCCACACAGTATTAGGTATCAGTACTTCATTCCTTTTTATGGCTGAGTACTATTCCATTGTATGTATGTATCACCTTGTTTATCCGTTGATGGACACTTCAGTTGTTTCTACCTTTTGTCTATTGTGAATTGTGCTACTATGAACATTTGTGTACAAATGTCTGAGTATCTGTTTTCAATTCTTTTGGGTATACACCTAGGAGTGGTCACATGGTCATTTTATGTTTAACTTTCTGAGGAACTGCCAAACTGTCTTCCATTGAGCTAAATCATTTTACTTTCCCACTGGCAATATATGAGGGTTTCAATTTCTCTACATCCTTGTTGTATTGATTTCCTAGGGCTGCTATACCAAATTACCAAAAACTGGGTGCTTAAAACAATACATTTTTATTCTCTCATGGTTCTGGAGTCCAGAAGTCTGAAATCAAGGTATCTGCAGGGCCATGATTCTTCTGAAGGCTCTAGGGAAGGCTCTTCCAGCTTCTAGTTGGCTCCTGGAGGTCCATGGCTTTTGGTAACAAAACTCAGTATCTGCTTTTCCTCCATATAACTTTCTTAAAAGAACACCATTCATTGTATTTAGGGTCAGCCCTAATCTGGCATGAACTTAACTAGCTACTTCTATAAAGACCCTATTTCCAAATGAAATCACATTCTGAGATTCTGGGTGGACATGAATTTTGGAGGGAACACTATTCAACCCAGTATGCACACCAATACATATCTTCTGTTTTTAATGTTTTTTGTTTTTTTAATAATAGACATCCTAGTGGATGTGAAGTGATATTTCATTTCAGTTTTGATTTGTCTTTCTCTAATGACTAGTGATGTTAAGCATCTTTTCATGTACTGGTTGGCTATCTGTATATTTTTTTTGGAGAAATATCTATTCAAAAAAATTGAGTTGTCTTTTTGTTGTTGAATTGTAAGAATTCTTTACATATTCTGGAAACAAGAACCTTATCAAAATACAATTTACAAATATTTTCTCTTTCTGTAGGTTGTATTTTCCACTCTTTTGATAATCATTTTGATGCATAAAAGTTTCCCATTTTAATGAAGTTGAATTTGTCTATTTTTTCTTTTGTTGTTCATGCTCTTGGTATCATGTCTAAGAATCTATTGCCAAATCCAAAGTCATAAAGATCTGACCCAGTGTTTTCTTCAAAGAGTTTTATAGTTTTATATCTTAAAGTTCATTGATACATTTGATTTTTGTATATGGGATGAAGTAGGGGTCCAACTTCATTCTTTTGCATTTGGATGTCAAATTGTCCCAGCATCATTTGTTGAAAGACAATTCTTTTCCCAATTGACTGGTTTTGGCATCTTTGTCAAAAATCAATTGGCAATAGATTTTTGGGTTTATTTCTGGACTCTCAATTCCATCTGATTGGTCTGTATGTTCATCCTTAAGCCAGGACCACGTGATCCCATGACCCTGAGATCATCATGACCTGAGCCGAAATCAAGAGTCATATGCTTAACCGACTAAGCCACCCAGGTGCCCAAGGACCACACTTTTTTGATTACTGTAGCTTTGTGATGGGCTTTGAAGTGAGGGAGTGTGAATCGTCCAATTTAGCTCTTTTTGTTTTAGCTTTTACATTTATATTTATAATTCATCTTAAACTGATATTTGTAAATGGTGTGAGGAAATAAAATAAAAAGAAAGACAAACACAACCATGCTGGTAGCATTTTGTTTCCTCCTGGATATCCAGTTGCTCCAAAATAATTTGTTGAAAAGACAAGCTTGAAAGGACTGGCTTTTTGTTTGTTTTTTCATTTCTAACATGTTCTGACAGCTTATTAAGTATGAGGCACTTTACATGGATTATGTAATATAGTTCTCATAATATTATGAGGTAGGTACTACACTTAACCTATTAAAATGAAAAATAGATAAGTAACATACCAAACCTCACAGCTAGTAACTAATAGGTTATGAACTAAAATTCAGATTTGTCTAATGCCAGAGTCCCATGCTATTAACTACCATACAATACTGCCTTCTGGCTGCCCCTCTACCTGACATGATAGTGATTCACCCTTTCTCCTGTAGAATTTTCCACTGCATTTTCCACTTCCAAACCTTCTTGCCTTCTTCCAAGCCTGGTCATACCCTTGGTATGGATATGCCCTTTTTTCCCGAAGCATCGGAGTCTCTGTTTATGGTTTCCTCTTTATACTATGTTTAAATCACAACATATTACTGTATGAATGGAAAAGTCCTACAGAATTTAAAGCAAAAGGAAAAAGTCATAGGCTATTTCAAACTTTCAAAGTCTGTATTTAATTTATGTGAAAACAGTTTTCCCAGAGAAGACATGAAATTATTTAAACAAAATTTACAAGCAAAAAGTTACATAAAACTGATCTCAAAATATTCAATTATTTCACTTATATGTGGAACCTAGAAAACAAAACAAACAGAAAAGGCAGAAACAGACCCATAAATACACAGAACACACTGGTGGTTGCCAGAGGGAAGGGGTGTATGGGATGGGCAAAAAGGGGTAAAAGGGAGTGGGAGGTACAGGCTTCCAATTATGGAAGGAATAAGTCACAGAGATGAAAGGTACAGCATAAAGAATATAGTCAATGGTTTTGTAATAGCATTGTATGGTGATAGATGGTAGCTATACTTGTGATAAGCAGAGCATAACATATTGAGTTGTCGAATCACTATGTTGTACATCTGAAACTAATATAATATTTTGTCAACTATATCCAATAAAATATGAACAAACAAATATTCAAGAGAAACGCTATTTCAGCATTTGAAGACTCTATTCCAAGTATCAGCAGCAATTCAAAAAAAAAGAAGTCTTAGCATTCCTAAGTTCAGAAAAGCTCCTAAATAATTATTTTGGAGATATTAGTTAATTAACATAAAATAAAAACTCAAACAAAAATCCCCAATCTTCTAAAAAGTTGAGTATAAAAAGGCAAAGACAGTAAAGAGGATGGTGAAATAAATAATTTCAAAGATCAAAAAAACATCTCTGATAACTTTTCTTGGCATTAAATTGACACACTCTGATTTTTGTTCTGTGATACATCAGCACCAATGTTTTCCACAAACAGCTGTTTTATTATTGGGTTCCCTAACAACTTTACTTGCCAGCTTAATGTTTCTTTAACTCTCTAAGCATGTAATAGAAGCACAGTCACACTACTTCACTGGGTTTTGACATCAAAAGCATCTTTCTTTTCCTAATATGCCTAGTCTTGTTTAAGGCATTTGGTTTAGAATACCAAGACATGCAATACTTGTCAGGAGTTGAATTTTTAAAAAATATTAATATTTTCTGAGTACAGATTCTTTGCCTCTTTGGTTAGATTTATTCCTAGGTATCTTATGGTTTGGGTGCAATTGTAAATGGGATTGACTCCTTCATTTCTCTTTCTTCTGTCTTGTTGTTGGTGTATATAAATGCAACTGATTTCCATGCATTGATTTTATATCCTGCCACTTTACTGAATTCCTGTATGAGTTCTAGCAGTTTTGGGGTGGAGTCTTTTGGGTTTTCCACATAAAGTATCATATAATCTGCAAAGAGTGAGAGTTTGACTCCTTTGCCGGTTCGGATGCCTTTTATTTCTTTTTGTTCTCTGATTGCTGTGGCTAGGACTTCTAGTACTATGTTGAATAGCAGTGGTGATAGTGGACATCCCTGCCCTGTTCCTGACCTTAGAGGGAAAGCTCTCAGTTTTTACTTAGAAAACTATAAAATACTCATGAAAGAAATTGAGGAAGACACAAAGAAATGGAAAAAATGTTCTATGCTCATGGATTGGAAGAACAAATATTGTGAAGATGTCAATGCTACCTAGAGCAATCTACACATTTAATGCAATCCCTATCAAAATACCATCAACTTTTTTCAAAGAAATGGAACAAATAATCCTAAAATTTGTATGGAACCAGAAAAGAGCCCAAATAGCCAGAGGAATGTTGGCTATAAAGAACTTATCAAAGTTCTATAAAGAACTATAAAGTTCTTTATAAGTTCTATAAAGAACTTATCAACCTCAACACCCAAAGAACAAATATTCCCATCAAGAAATGGGCAGAAGACACGAACAGACATTTCTGCAAAGAAGTCATCCAAATGGCCAAGAGACACATGAAAAAGTGCTCAACATCGCTCGGCATCAGGGAAATCCAAATCAAAACCTCAATGAGATACCACCTCACACCAGTCAGAATGGCTAAAATTAACAAGTCAGGAAACGACAGATGTTGGCGAGGATGCGGAAAAAGGGGAACCCTCCTACACTGTTGGTGGGAATGCAAGCTGGTGCAGCCACGCTGGAAAACAGTATGGAGGTTCCTCAAAAAGTTGAAAATAGAGCTACCATACAACCCAGCAATTGCACTACTGGGTATTTACCCCAAAGATACAAATATAGGGATCCAAAGGGGTACATGCACCCCGATGTTTATAGCAGCAATGTCCACAATAGCCAAACTGTGGAAAGAGCCAAGATGTCCATCAACAGATGACTGGATAAAGAAGGTGTGGTATATACATATACATACATATGCATTCCATATATACAATGGAATATTATGCAGCCATCAAAAGGAATGAAATCTTACCATTTGCAACGACATGGATGGAACTGGAGGGTATTATGCTGAGTGAAATAAGTCAATCAGAGAAAGACATGTATCATATGATCTCACTGATATGAGGAATTCTTAATCTCAGGAAACAAACTGAGGGTTGCTGGAGTGGTGGGGGGTGGGAGGGATGGGGTGGCTGGGTGACAGACATTGGGGAGGGTATGTGCTATGGTGAGCGCTGTGAATTGTGTAAGACTGCTGAATCACAGACCTGTACCTCTGAAACAAATAATACATTATATGTTAAAAAAAAAAAAAAGATAGTAGGAAGGGAAAAATGAAGGGGGGGAAATCGGAGGGGGAGACGTACCATGAGAGACTGTGGACTCTGAGAAACAAACTGAGGGTCTAGAGGGGAGGGGGATGGGGGGATGGGTTAGCCTAGTGATGGGTGTTAAAGAGGGCATGTATTGAATGGAGCACTGGGTGTTATACACAAACAATGAATCATGGAACACTACATCAAAAATAAATAAATTAATTAAAAATATATTAATATTTTCTGACAGGTATGATTAGCTTTTTTCATTATCAAAATCAACAGTTTGTATATCTCCAGTCTATTCCCAATATAGCAGTCTAATCATATTCCATTACTTAAAAACCTTCAACTTGGAACGTAAAGGTCTTTACTCCTTTGTCTGACACAGGAACCCCTTTAAAAATTATCAACTCAGATCCTTTCACTCCTCTGCTCAGTCTTGCAATGCCTTCCCATTTCACTAGGAATGAAAATGAAGGTCTTAATAAAACCCTAATAATCTGCACTCCTCCCTCTTACTCCCCTTTGTTTTCTACTACGCTATCCCTCGAGCACTGTCCAAGTCATTCTCCCTAACTTAGAGTTTCTGTTCTAGTCATTCCCTCTGGGATGTTCATCCCTGAGAAATCTATTGCCTTGCCACCTCTAAATATTTACTCAAATTTACCCTTTTCAGTGAGGCCTCCCTTGAGCACCCTATATAACACCACAAACTCCTCTTTTTCCTCTACACTTGGATTCCCTTTAACTGCTCTACATCCTTTTTTCCATAAAACTTACCACCTTATAAAGTAGTACACAGTTTACATATCTATTTATTATTTATTGACCATCTCCCTCTGTTGGAATGTAATTCCCAGGAGGACAATTCTAGTCACTGAGGTATCACACATACCAAGAATATTGTCTGACACGCTGCTGACAATAAATATTTGATGAACAAATGAATGAATGGTTTTCACCATATTTGCTATCTTAACTTTAAGCACAAAACTGACAAGATTAAACAGATGGCTGTATTACTCCACCAAAATTTAAGTTTCAATCACCTTTAGTGTTGACGTGCTTCCTACTTGGCACTGCCTTAGTTGAGATCCTTTAATTGCTTCCAAGATGGTTCCTCCTTCACATGGTTGTCAGAATTATCTTTGCAAAGCACAAACCTAATCAAAGCAGTCCATTGCCTAAAAACATCTATCTAGCTTAGAAAATAAAATCTTTACTCCTTAGTTTGACAAAGATGTCCCATAATCGGACCTCAATGTAATTTATGACTCCTTTTCCACCTTTCCTTATAAACCCTATGATCTTGCCACACTAGAACATACATTTATTTTCATTTTTACACATGCTATATTCAGATTTGAATATCCTACCCTTTCTTCACCTTGGCAAATGCTATATATCTTTCATGACCCAAGGCAAATACCACATTTTTTAAAATTTTATTTATTTATTTGAGAGAGAGAGAGAGAGTGCGCGCACGCATGAGTGGGGGGAGGAGCAGAGGGAGAGGAGGAGCAGACTTTTGGCTGAGCAGGAATGATGAAGGGCTCCACATTTTTGATACAACCTTCTTCAATGCCCCAGGAAGAAGTAGTGCCTCCTTCCTGTACTCAAGCACTTTCTACACACATCTACTAAAGCACTTAGCACCCTGAATTTAAAACTCTGTATTTATGTCTGTCCTTTCTCCCCCACTAATCTGTGGGTTCCTTACTTTTATTCATCTTTATACTCCACACTCAGCTCCTTTCAAACTCACCCAACAGTTGGCACAGTATAGGACATGTGGAAAGCGTTAAGTAAATTTAGTAGAATTAAGAGTGCCAATGGATTTAATATTTTCCTAGACTAATTATTATTACTACTACTACTGTTTTACAATACAATCGGATTAGTCACAGCTATTTTTCAAAACTAAGTACTTCCTAGACCCAAGACCTAGAAATTGCAATCTGAGCCTATAATAAAAAAATCATTTTTACTAGAAGTTAATTTCCCAAATACAAGAGCCTAAATCATAAAGTGATGTAAAAGCAGGTTAACATATTACTCAGCCTTTTAATTGTCATAAGATCAAAATTGATCTAGGTTAGAATTCAGTTCTATATATTTGGTTACTATTCATTTCTGGGTCTCAGAAATCCCCTTAACATCAGTAGTAAAGATGAAGTAAATGTCCTTGAAACTCATCAAGAGCAACTTTCCCGGTGAGGTTAATGGCCTGAAAAATCAAAATACAATTAACCCTCAAACACCGGGGGCTAGGGACGGGGACCACTGCACAACTGAAAATCCAAATATAACTCTTGACTCCCCCAAAACTTAACTACTAATAGCCTACTGTTGTTTGGAAGCCTTACCGATAACAAAAACAGTCAATTAACACATATTTTATATGTTACATGTATTATACGCTGTATTCTTAAAATAATACCTTTAATAAGAATTTTTTTTCAGTATATCTAGGCTACAGGGTTCAACAGGGAGTTTTTTCAAATTGTGGCAAATCTCCAAAAAAAACCATGTATAAGTAGGTCCACACAGTTCAAATCCTTGTTGTTTAAGGGTCTACTGTATTATAATTAAGTGAATGAACATTTTACTTAATTCACAAAATATCTTGAACTTGCATAATTTTAATTTCCACTGGGACAACTTTATACGGAAAAATCACTTCAAATATTAGAATAACCTTACCCATTTTCCAGAATCCTAATGTGTTGTTTATCTATGATCACAAAGCTTGAGTGTCTGACTGGGATATAATGTGAACCAGACGGGATGATGGTTTTGGAAAATGGGCCATGCTTTACATACTACAGTACGAACAGTGATTTGGGAGACTGCTTCAAGAATGTACTCTGCACATTTTTCTTGCCCTGCCTTCAAGGAGATAAGTGGGATAAAGAGGAAAAAAAACACTAGGCAAAAGTTAATGTTCCTCATGAATCCACTACTGGAGAATCCAGTATGATTTCTGGAAAATAAAGGACTTACTCTGCAGAAGGTACTGCAGGAGGCATAAAGAGTCCTGATGAGTGAGGAATTAGGGTTAGAAGTTTTGAAGGACTATCATCTCTTCATTTCTACCAGGAAGTCAGAGGTCCACCTCATTCTCTCCCACCCCTTTAGCTGGTCCCTGACCAGATTCACGACTGGGCAAACCAACAAGTCTGGCCCTCTGGACAGGAATTTGCTTTGATTTACAGTAGTTACGGGCTTCTAAATCTCGGCAATTACTGAGTCAATTGGATTATCAGACTACCTATGTCTGACTCATGACTGGATTTATGCTGGATATGGCTGGAAAGCCGGCCACATCTTGGGATTCAACCACAAGAATGGCTGAGGGTGAGGAGTGGGGTGGGGAGGAGGGATAGGTGTCTGATCGTGATTACGGTTGGAGCCAAAGTCCTACCCGACAAATACATACAACATTGGTAAAATCTATGCGGTGAGGCCCGGTGCATCCCAACACCCATCCTGCCCCCATGCCCACTTCCTTCCAGCCATTTGGCTACCGCGCCAGAATCCCTCTGAACCAGGTAAGAGGGAAAAGCTGAAGGCCAAGCACCAGGCACTGTGGGGGCTGAGAAATATCTAGCGGCCCTGGAAAGGTCAGTTCCCTCCCACCTCTGTTAATCCCCGCCGGATGGTAAACCAAAACTGGGCCAAATTACCCGGCCCGCCAGGCCCTGGATTCTCATCCTTTCCCGGGGCACGAAAAGGTCAAAAAGGCAAATAAAGGCTCTCCGCGTCTGCACTAAAGACTTAGCAGTCTGTGGAAGCATCTCGTTACTAACCTCATTCTTTTCTTTTCACGCGAGGCTTCAGATCCCAGCTTCCCACCTCAGACGACGTTCTGGCTAGCGCTGGGACACCAAAGCCCCGGGACGAAGACGCCCCCTTCTCCGCCCGCATTTTGCGCATGTGCGAAGCGGAGCGGCGAGTCGGCCGGGTGGGGCTGGTCGCTAAGATACCAGAGGGAAAGTTCTGCCTAACGGTCGGCTCTGAAAGGCAGAGCGTTATTCTATTGGTAGAAAGTAGAGAGGGGGCGGGATGCAAGCGCCTTCTTTTCTGACCATTGGGTAGAATAACTGTCAATCAGTAGGCAAGCCTGGGTGGGCGGGGCTGCCTGAGAGGGTGGCTAGAGCGGCCTTAGCTGAACTGTGTAGACTGCAGTTGGGCTGCGCGGCTGGCGGCTGAGGCCGGGAGGTCCCGGCTGAGGGCACCGGTTGGGGACATGGTGAGTGCCAAGCCGTAACCCCTTGCTGGGCCGGGCCTAGGGCTGAAGTTTCAAGCCGGAGCAAGGAAGGAATTTTGTTTGGTTTATGAAATGTATTATTCGATACCCCCTGATCCTCGAGCGTCATTTAGTAACCCCTCCTCTCGTGGCCAACTAGAAGCACGTTGCCGTGGCTCTAGGGCCGCAAGAGCGGGCCTGCAGTTCGTTCGTTCCGCGTCGTCCCCGCCAACCGCGATAGGTTCCGTGATGCAAACGGAGACCACTGGTTAGCCAGAAAGGAATTGAATACAGAGAATAAGAGGCTTAGAAACTGTTGGAGGGTCCAGCCCTCTAGCAAAGAGGCCCTGAACTCCGAAAAAGTGGCCAGGGTAGCTCCTCACTCCGCCACGGTTGGGAAGGTGAAGGTTCTGAAGGCTGGAACTGCACACCTGTGTATCTGCAGTCCAGGGACCAGGAAGCCGCCGCCGCCGCCACGTGAGACCGGAGGCGAGGCGCACAGGACCGTGATGCCCAGTTGCCATCCCTGCTGCCACTGCTTCTTAACCCGAAGCTGGAGACAAGATAGTGAAATGAGGCTGCAGAAAAACCCCAGGAGTAACACTGTGACCTTGCTTGCGGGAAAATGGCACACAGCAGGAAGATGACCTCCACCTTACCTGGATGCTGATAATTGGCCCAACTTTTACTCTTACTCCGATCCCTGGAGTAGTTTTTCACCTGGAAAATGGAGTTTTCATCTCTCAGCTTCTGCAATATAGAAAAGTACGCTAAAATAGGTGGGAAAGGGTATTATGTTTCAAGCAAACCTATCCCACAAAATAAACAAATTTTGTTACGAGACATATAGGCCTAGATGAAAGGTGTGCCTTAGACACTACTTTTTAGATATCCCAAGTAAGGCTCGTACTCGTACTCGGACATAACATCTACTGTTGGAGCATGCATGCCTTTGCCTCTTCTCTCTCTCAAAAAGCACTGGTTTGGGCGCCTGGGTGGCTCAGTTGGTTAAGCGTCTGCCTTCGGCTCAGGTCATGATCCAGGGGTCGCAGGATCGAGTCCCACATCAGGCTTCCAGCTCAGCGGGGAGTCTGCTTCTCCCTCTGACCCTACCCCCTGTCGTGCTCTCTCTCTCTCTCTCTCTCTCTCTTTCTCTTGAATAAATAAATAAAATCTTAAGAAAAAAAAAGCACTAGTTTGCAGGAAAAACTTAAGTGGTAGAAAGAACCAGGCTTTCCACCAAGATATTAATAACTAAAAGCATAAATGTTAGCAAAGGGAAAAGGGAAATTGCTGATGGTCATTATATAGTAGGGAATAGGGTTCTCGAATATGCTTATTTATTATATTTATCATCGATTATTCTGGTTCTGGTAAGTTTTCCAGTTACATAGTTTTTCATGCACATGTGTATTTATTACAGGCATCCAACTACTGCACAGGTTCAGACCAAGGGAAGAAAAGAGCAGCAAAACTTGAACTGAATGAAACCCAAAAGCAAGAAATTAAAGAGGCCTTTGATTTATTTGACGTTGATGGGTCTGGAACCATAGATGTGAAAGAACTGAAGGTTTTGAAATTACTTCTGATTCTAAGACATTTTAAAAACCATCATTTATTTGTGACAATCTTTCAGTCTTTAACAGCAGCCGTCTAAAAGCTTGATATAAAATCTCATCAGTGTGGACACCTACACCTTCAGTATATATACCTGCCTCGTACTAACAAAATAGTATCTTGTTAGGCATTTTATTCTTATTTTATGAATGAGTACAACAAAACCCAGCAGGTGACAGTAACATATCCTGTGGCATAGTGGGACTGGAACCTAGTCCTCCTGACCTAACTTTCCCTAGGTTTATGCCTTGTCCATAGTGAAAAAGAGAAAATCTAGTCACTAATAGGTCATTTACAACCTAGGAATGAGAATGTGACATATTATAATTTATTTGCTTCCTATTTCAGATTGCAATGCAAGCCTTAGGATTTGAACCAAAGAAAGAAGAAATTAAAAGAATGATAGCTGAAATCGACAAAGAAGGAATTGGCACCATTACTTTTGAAGATTTTTTTGCCATAATGAGTGTAAAAATGGTAGTGATTTTGTTTTTCAAAGAAATACAAGCAATAGCCTTCTACTTTTTTTTTTTTTTTTTTTTTTTGGCTGGAACAATCAGAGGTTTCATAGAGGAAGAATTGGAACTAGGTCTTTATTTTTTTATTTTTTATTTTTTTAAAGATTTTATTTATTTATTTGACAGAGAGAGACACAGCGAGAGAGGGAACACAAGCAGGGGGAGTGGGAGAGGGAGAAGCAGGCTTCCCGCAGAGCAGGGAGCCTGATGCTGGGCTTGATCCCAGGACCCTGGGATCATGACCTGAGCCAAAGGCAGATGCTTAACAACTGAGCCACCCAGGAGCCCCGGAACTAGGTCTTTAAAGATGGGTAGGATTTAGGTAGATAGGAATAGCAAGATTAAAGATGTTTTCAGGATAGTAATGAAGACTGTCCAGTGTGGAGAAGGTTGTTAGGAAATAATAAGGATATATAGCTGGATAGAGAGAAATGGGGTCAGAATTTTGAAGCCTTGAATTTAGCAAACATCTCCTGAGTGCCCATTTTTGCCAAGCACTATTCTAGAGAGCATTGGATGAGACAACCTCCCGATGTTCTCAGAACTTAGAGCTTACATTTTTGATAATGGATATCAGTTGCTGGTGCTAATAAGAGATATATTCTCTTTACCATCCTTGCCTCTTCCACTTTAACAAATCTTGAATTTAAGATACCTTGAGAGCAAATGTGAGTGCATTTGGAATAATTATTAAAAGTTATAGCAGTGAGGCTTCTAGAGGGGAGGAAGGTGGGGGGATGGGTTAGCCTGGTGATGGGTATTAAAGAGGGCACGTTCTGCATGGAGCACTGGGTGTTATACACAAACAATGAATCATGGAACACTACATCAAAAACTAATGATGTAACATATGGTGATTAACATAACATAATAATAAAAAAAAAGTTATAGCAGTAAAGTCAGAACTCAGCTACCTGGTACATTGCTACTCTAGACCTCAAACACCCCATAAGTCCAATTTGATAGAATAAATGAAAGATTAATGACATTTAATTGCTTCTGTTTTTAAAGAGTGAAAAAGATGAAAAAGAAGAAATATTGAAGGCTTTCAAATTATTTGATGATGATGATACTGGAAGCATAACACTAAACAATATCAAGAGGGTTGCTAAAGAACTGGGGGAAAATATAACAGATGATGAACTTCAGGTAATTTTTTATTTTTATAATTATGATTTACATGTATATAAATCTTAATTTTGTTGGTCAAATACATTCAAAATAAAATTTGTGTATTTGAATATTCATTTATATCATTCATTTTTAATGATTTCACATATCATATTTACATTTTGTTCTACAGGAAATGCTTGATGAAGCTGATCGTGATAGGGACGGAGAAATAAATGAGGAAGAATTTTTGAGAATGATGAAAAAGACCACTCTTTATTAATACTTTTTTTATTCCTTCTGGAAAGTTGTTAACAACTTTATATTTGCTATACAGTTCCATCATATCTGAATGTATTTTCAAGTTTTAGTTTATATGCACAAAATGGTCTCTTGATGTCTAATCCATGTGAGAAGTTACATGTTTCTACCAATATGTTGTTAAATCTGCAGCATCAAGAAACAAAGAAAATGTAATGATTTCTGTGAACCATGGATCCCAAACCAGTATTAATTCCAACTGCTACTTTTAGAGCTCCAGGGTCTGAAGACTTAGAATTTTTTTAAGTTTAATGAAACTGACCCCACATCCAAATGAATTTGGCGAACAAGCAATTAGTTTCCCTATTATTTTCTTTTTGTGCAACTCTTTAAAACTGATAAATATTTGCTTTTTAATCAGTTATTCAGATATGTAAAGTATTAAATAAAATTGCCTAGCAACTACATTATTTGCTAGTTTTCCTCTTATAAAGAAATTCAAAGCAGTACTTGTACTACCTAGATTTTCCTGTAAGTTTGACCCTGCAAGTGAGCTTTTAATACCTCTGCATGGGAGGTGCTAGGGATTTTACATATGTTATCTCAATGTTACAATTTGGGGAAGCTGGTAGTATTAGCTCCATTTTACTACATATGAGAAAACTAAAGTTCAGAGGACTTAAAAATTGTTCAGTTGTTCATAGATAATAAGTAAAACATGGATTCTAAATCTTGTATCCTTATGCTTCACTATGCAGCTTCCCTATGGATAAAATATCTCAGGATAATTTAAGTGTATATTTTCTAACTCATTTAATATTACGACTCTTGTAATTTAACTTTGTTTTGTTTTGTTTTGTTTTGTTTTATGAAAGAGCCAAACTGTTGGGAAAGGCAGTCTCAAGATACAGTCTTTTGATCCCCCACTGGGTCACACAAGACTGGGCCTTGGGCCTAGGATACTTCTTTACCAAGAAAGAGTCTCTATAGCTTATGCTGGAATTGTCTGTGAATATCTTTCCATTTCAGACTCCATATGTACTTTTTTCTGCTTAAGCATGTGTATAATATGGTGCCTGTGTGTGTAATATGGCACCTGGCCAACCCCACTTTGGAAAGGGGATGTCCCCTTCAGAGAGGGTGGGCTCCTTCTGCAGCACAACAGGATGGCTGTTTACAGGCCAGTTGCCCTGTATTGGCTTCTGGGAGGGGCCAGCTGGCCATGGGAAACCGACTTTCGCTACTGAAACTGATACTGCTCTGTCTCTTCTCTATATGAATGAAGAATTTTTCCACCCCGTAGTTGACTGCATTGTGTTTTCCTTGGCAATTAAACTGATACCAAGATGCACTGGCAGAAGCTCTCAGGTTTCTGCTCCTGATAATAGGCAACAGATGCCACTTGCTGGATACAAACTCTTCCTAAATCTAAGTAATTGTCTTTGGAGCAAGAAAGGATTATAGAAAATGTAACTTTAATTGCCCCACCTAGTTCATTTTTAGCTCAACTGAAATGAAGACTCAAGGTTTTGTCAACACAAGAGGTTTTTTTCAATTGAAACTACAATGGTATATATGCTTACGCTCATTAAGTGTTCCACAGTGTCTTTATTTTTTTTTTTTTTAAAGATTTTATTTATTTATTTGAGACAGAGAGAATGAGAGACAGAGAGCATGAGAGGGAGGAGGGTCAGAGGGAGAAGCAGACTCCCTGCCGAGCAGGGAGCCCGATGTGGGATTCGATCCCGGGACTCCAGGATCGTGACCTGAGCCGAAGGCAGTCGCTTAACCAACTGAGCCACCCAGGCGCCCCTTAACAATTGTGAGGTTTTTTTTTTAAAGATTTTACTTATTTATTTGGGGGAGAGAGAGAGAGAGAGAATGAGAGCACAGCTGGGGGAGGGGCAGAGGGAGAAGTAGGCTCTCAGCTGATCAGGGAGCCAGATTTAAGGCTCAATCCCAGGACCCCAAGATCATGACCCGAGCTGAAGGCAGACACTCAACTGAGCCACCCAGGCGCCCTCACAGTGTCTTTAATTCCTAATTATGCAGCATTTCCTTCTAGGCTAAGACATAACTGTTAAACATGCTTCATATGTGAAAATTATGGGCTTTAAGTTGTTAAATGATTTATATTTTTAAGTGGGTAGTATACTTAAAAATACACATGAACAAGTTCAAAGAGTTCTAAATATACATGAACAAGTTCAAAGAGTTCCTTCTCATTCAATCCCCAGTTCTCCCTAGGACAGAATGTCCTTTATCACTACCTCTATTTAACATTGTACAGAAGTGCTAGCCAGTACATTAAGGCAAGAAACAGAAAAAAAGAGATCAGAAAGGAAGAAATAAAATTCCATTTGCAGATGACAGTATATATATACATAGAATATCCCAAAGAATTTAGAGATTGCTGGATGCAAAGTTGTTATGCAAATACAAATATAAGCACAATTCTATTTTTACAAACCAGATATGAGTAATTAGAAAATGAAATTTAAGATACTATTAATAGTATTAAAAGTATAAAAATCTTACCACTGAATCTAATGAAGATGCACAGATCTTCAACATCAAAAACTATAGAAGAGTACTAAAGAAGACCTAAATAAATGGAGGAATATTATTAGGTTCATGGATTGGAAAACTCAATATTATACAGATGTCAATTCTCCCTTTATTGATCTATAGCTTATAGTGCAATCAAAATCCTAGCCTATGTGAAACTTGACAAGCCTAAAATTTATATGGAAATCCAAGGGACCAATACAGACTCAAAGAACAAGGTGAGAGGCTAGCTTGCCTGACTATCAAGATTTATTATAGGGTCATAGTAATTAGAATAGTGTGGTGTTAACTAGGATAGACTAATGGACCAATGGAATAGAACAGAAAGTCCTGAAACAGACTCATATGTATATGGCCATTGATTTAGGATACAGGTAACTGCAGAGTAGTGGAACATTATAATAAATTGTTCCAAGTCAATAGGATATCCAAAAAGAGTAAAAGAAAACGACCCCAACCTGACACTATACATAAAAACTAAGTCTAAATTATTGTTGATCAAGACATGCAAGGTAACAATATATGATCATGACCTTGAGATCAGATTTCTAATTAGGAAACAAAACCCACTAACTTTAAAGGAAAACATTGATAAATTGTACTATGAGAACTTCTCTTCATGAAAGGAGAGAATGAAGACATAAGCTACTAAGTGGAAAAAGATACTTTTAATAAATCTACCTGACTAAATACTTGTATGTAGAACATATAATTTTTAAAAATCTGTAAGAAAAAGCCCAATTTTTAAAAGTGAGCAAAAGACTTGAGTAGGCACTTCATAGAAAAGGATATGGAAATGGTCAAAAATATGTGAAAAATCAAAATAAGGAAAGTAGTAGGCTGAATAATGGCCTCCAAAAAGATTCATGTTCTAATCCCTGGAAACCATGAATGTTATCTTATATGACAAAAAATCCCCAAAAAAACAAAACAAACCACACACACACACACATAAACAAAAAGCAACTTTGCATTATGATCAAATTAAGGACAATGAGTTAGATTTCCTGGCTTATCTAGTGGGCCCAAAATGCAACCACAAGTATCTTTATAAAAGAGATGCAGAATTGATTTTATATCCTGCCACTTTACTGAATTCCTGTATGAGTTCTAGCAGTTTTGGGGTGGTCTTTTGGGTTTTCCACATAAAGTGTCATATCATCTGCAAAGAGTGAGAGTTTGACTTCTTCTTTGCTGATTCAGAGGCCTTTTATTTCTTTTTGTTGTCTGGTTGCTGTGGCTAGGACTTCTAATAGTATGTTGAATAGCAGTGGTGATAGTGGACATCCCTGCTGCGTTCCTGACCTTAGGGGGAAAGCTCTCAGTTTTTCCCCATTGAGAATGATATTCGCTGTGGGTTTTCATACATGGCTTTTATGATATTGAGGTATGGACCCTCTATCCCTATACTCTGAAGAGTTTTGATCAAGAAAGGATGCTGTACTTTGTCAAATGCTTTTTCTGCATCTATTGAGAGGATCATATGGTTCTTGTTCTTTTATTAATGTGTTGTATCACATTGATTGATTTGCAGATGTTGAAACAACCTTGTAGCCCAGGAATAAATCCCACTTGGTCGTGGTGAATAATCCTTTTAAGGTACTATTAGATCCTATTGGCTAGTATTTTGGTGAGAATTTTGGTGAGAATTTTTGCATCCATGTTCATCAGGGATATTGGTCTGTAATTCTCCTTTTTGATGCGGTCTTTGTCTGGTTTGGGGATCAAGGTAATGGTGGCCTCATAAAATGAGTTTGGAAGTTTTCCTTCCATTTCTATTTTTTGGAACAGTTTCAGAAGAATAGGTATTAATTCTTCTTTAAATGTTTGGTAGAATTCCCCTGGGAAGCCATCTGGCCCTGGGCTCTTGTTTATTGGGAGATTTTTGATTACTGCTTCAATTTCCTTAGTGGTTATGGGTCTGTTCAGGTTTTCTATTTCTTCCTGGTTCAGTTTTGGTAGCTTATACATCTCTAGGAATGCATCCATTTCTTCCAGATTATCTAATTTGCTGGCATATAGTTGCTCATAATATGTTCTTGTAATTGTTTGATTTCTTTGGTGTTCGTTGTGATCTCTCCTCTTTCATTCATGATTTTATTTATTTGGGTCATTTCTCTCTCTCTCTTTTTTTTTTTTTTGATAAGTCTGGCCAGGGGTTTATCAATCTTATTAATTCTTTCAAAGAACCAGCTCCTAGTTTCGTTGATCTGTTCTACTGTTCTTTTGGCTTCTATTTCATTGATTTCTGCTCTGATCTTTATTATTTCTCTTCTCCTGCTGGGTTTAGGCTTTATTTGCTGTTCTTTCTCCAGCTCCTTTAGGAGTAGGGTTAGGTTGTGCATTTGAGACCTTTCTTGTTTCTTGAGAAAGGCTTGTATTGCTATATATTTTCCTCTTAGGACTGCCTTTACTGCATTCCAAAGATTTTGAACAGTTGTGTTTTCATTTTCATTGGTTTCCATGAATTTTTTTAATTCTTAATTTCCTGGTTGACCCATTCATTCTTTAGTAGGATGCTCTTTAGCCTCCATGTATTTGAGTTCTTTCCAACTTTCCTCTTGTGATTGAGTTCTAGTTTCAAAGCATTGTGGTCCAAAAATACACATGGAACGATCCCAATCTTTTGGTACCAGTTGAGACCTGATTTGTGACCTAGGATGTGATCTATTCTGGAGAATGTTCCATGGGCATTAGAGAAGAATGTGTATTCTGTTGCTTTGGGATGGAATGTTCTGAATGGCTAAAATTAACAAGTCAGGAAACAACAGATGTTGGCGGGGATGCAAAGAAAGGGGAACCCTCCTACACTGTTGGTGGGAATGCAAGCTGGTGCAGCCACGCTGGAAAACAGTATGGAGGTTCCTCAAAAAGTTGAAAATAGAGCTACCATACAACCCAGCAATTGCACTACTGGGTATTTATCCCAAAGATACAAATATAGGGATCTGAAGGGGTACATGCACCCCGATGTTTATAGCAGCAATGTCCACAATAGCCAAACTGTGGAAAGAGCCAAGATGTCCATCGACAGATGACTGGATAAAGAAGGTGTGGTATATACATATACATACATATGCATTCCATATATACAATGGAATATTATGCAGCCATCAAAAGGAATGAAATCTTACCATTTGCAACGACATGGATGGAACTGGAGGGTATTATGCTGAGTGAAATAAGTCAATCAGAGAAAGACATGTATCATATGATCTCACTGATTTGAGGAGTTCTTAATCTCAGGAAACAAACTGAGGGTTGCTGGAGTGGTGGGGGGTGGGAGGGATGGGGTGGCTGGGTGATAGACATTGGGGAGGATATGTGCTATGGTGAGCACTGTGAATTGTGTAAGACTATTGAATCACAGACCTGTACCTCTGAAACAAATAATACATTATATGTTAAAAAAAAAAAAGAAGATAGTAGGAAGGGAAAAATGAAGGGGGGGGGGGAATTGGAGGGGGAGACGAACCATGAGAGACTATGGACTCTGAGAAAAAAACTGAGGGTTCTAGAGGGGAAGGGGGATGGGGGGATGGGTTAGCCTGGTGATGGGTATTAAAGAATAGTGAGTGGAGCACTGGGTGTTATATGCAGACAATGAATCATGGAACACTACATCAAAAACTAATGATGTAATGTATGGTGATTAACATAACATAATAAAATAAAAAAAAAGAGAGGCAGAAGGATATTTGACACATAGAAGAGAAGGTAATGTAATCATGGAGGCAGAAAATATTGTTTCTACAATGGCATGGATGCTCATGAACATTCTTAAGTGTTTCACAGTATCTTTAATTCCTAATTATGTAGCATTTCCTTCTAGACTGAAGAAAAATAGAATTACTAAAGATCTGATGAAGCAATGTGCCTATAAGTCAAGGAATGCTGACAGCTCTAAGGAGCTGGAAGAGTTAAAGAATAAGCTTCA